GCTCAGTCGGTTGAGCGTCCGACTCCGGCTCAGGTCATGATCTCACAGTTCGTGAGTTCGAGCCCCGTGTCGGACTCAGTGCTGACAGCTCAGAGCCTGGAGCCTGCTTCGGATTCTGTGTCTCCCTCTCTCTCTGCCCCTCCCCGCTCATGCTCTGTCTCTGTCTTAAAAATAAATAAAACATTAAAAAAAAAGTGCTGTCAAGTATGTGATGCTGGGTTTGGGGTGGAGAGGCCCCGATTTGTAGAATTTTTCTATTTTTACTTGTCATTAGTATTGTCTCTCTTAATGGTTTCCTTTAGAAATTACAAGGTTAAATTTCATAAAGTCAAGGAGAACTCAAGAAGATAATGTTCATGAAAGCATGGATTTTGGAAATTCAAGTTTGCTTTGTTAATCTTCAGGTTATCAGACAGGCCTCCTTCTGTCCCGAGGTGAAGACTATCTGTACAGAAGAGGTAACTGGGGTTCAGAATATTAATATTTTAATCCGAGTATTAAACATAACATAAAGATTAATTAATATACATGTTAATATTTTAATATTAAAATATAAATATTTTACAATTGAGTTTTAATGTCAAAGAGGCTGTTTGTGTCATTTAATTACCCATTTGCCTGGAATGATACGTTAGGAATTTCGTGCACAACTGGGATAAAATATGCCACCAATTCTCATAATAGAGACCGGTAGAATGGAAGGAGGAAAGAGATAAGAACCAGAATTTGAAGTCTGGAACTTCGATGTTCAACACTTTTCCTTACCCACAGTTTACCCATGAGACAGAGTATTATTGAGGAATATTACTTGGATGTTAAAATGATGTCTGCAAAAACCAAACGACATGGGCGAATGTTCAAGTCACGACAGGGTTACAAAGTAAAATACAAAGTTGCACGTGCCGTATGTTTAAAACAGTGAAAACAAACGAACTACAAAACAAGGAGCACCGCCTCCACCAAATATAGAAGAAATAAGAGTGGAAGGACAGAATAAGAATCACTGAAAAGTGAATCAGCTCTATTTATATTTGAATGTTGGTAGAGTGGACAATGTTTTGCTGCTCTCTGCTTTTCAAGTTTTCAATTAAAAAAATGAACAGAAGCAAGGGGCGCCTGAGTGGCTCAGTCGGTCGAGCACCTGACTCTTGATTTCAGCTCAGGTCTTGATCTCAGGTCGTGGGATCGAGTCCCGCCTTGGCGGCTGCACTGAGCATGGTTCCTGGTTGGGATTCTCTCTCTCTCTCCCTCGCTTGTGTGCTTTCTCTCTCTCAAAAGCAAACAAACAAATAGATAAACAAAAGTAGATTTTATTTTTTTTAATGCCATTCTCCTAAAATTAAAATATGCACATAAGTTATTAAAAAGCCAAAACAAAGAATGAAAGGAGGAAGGAAAGGAGAAAAGACAGAGGTGATTACAAGAGGAAGAGAAGAGAAGCCTTGGGAGCCTGTCCTGGTTCCTTTAATGGCTTCCCGTGACCGTGGAGTAGTCACCTACCCTCTCTCTGACTCCAGGTTCTGCATTTGCAAAGTGGGGACAAATAATGGCTGGGAGAATTTAAGGGGACAAAGATCGTGAAATATACAACACACGCCGATGCCACTGCGCTGCGCTCCTGACCTTGGGCAAGACACATAGAGAGACACGTACAGAAAGTGATGCTGTTTGTTCCGGAGCAGAGTGGAGGCTGTGAGCGACTGGCCTTGGGGCTCAGCAACTCCCTCACCAGTTCCAACTCAAGGCAGGCTGGTTGCAAAGCTCCGTCACCATCTGTGAAGTTTCCTGCCTGACAAATTGGCTGGCTCTCCCGTCCCTGCCTTATCAATATATTGCAAACCTTTCTCCTTCAGTACACAGAAAACTGCTGGGTAAGCCTGCTGGAAAGGGTTGTTGGGGCAACTCTTAACTGGAAATGGCCACTGAATGATAATAGCATGTGGGCCAAATGGCATCTGGAGCTGTGGGAGAGGGGGTGGGGGCAGCGAGGGTAAAGAAAATCAAATCTGGCAGATTACGCGTATCAAAATACAATTGGGCAAAAACATTATGAGTCAAAATTAAAATACTGCGACAGCTCTACGGTATTATTTACCACTGAGCAGAATGCATCTTCAGGAAGTTCTGGGGTTCTAAAAAAACCAAAAGGGGCCTCATTATGGAACGGTTTCTTGTTCTACGATGGCATGATAGTAACATAGATGGCACTTCCTTCTAGCACCTTCCGCCCACGTGAGATCAGAAGAGCATTTTTGCACCTCACAATGGAGGTGGGAGAGCTTTCAAAGCATTTTCAGATATACTTTTTCACTTACATTTTTGCAACCACACTGTGAAGAAAGGTAGTTTTACGTACAGGCAAACTGAAACTTAGAGAAAGTTAAGTGATATGCCCAAGGTCAAAGTCCCCACCATGTGCTAAATCATCTGACCCTGACATCACACCTGCAGCGTGGACACCCACGGTTTATGAAACCTGCGTGGAACCTCTTGGGTAGATCAGTCACACGGAGCTATTGATTATTCGGTGGCAAATGATGCCGCATTTGTGGGGGCATCTGTGGGGGCACAGATCCCTCCCACACCCCAATCCATTGCATCTTCTCTTTTTGTTAAGTCCACTTCACAAGCTGAGTGGGTGGGGTGTGTGGTGGGGAGAGTATAAATTACCCTTCACAAGTCAATGGTAGGAGAGTCATGGAACATAACACAATACACGAATAGTAATAGTCAAAGGAGCTAACACTTGCCTAGGCTTCCGATGCTATGTGCCCGGCAGAGTTCATAATGCTTTACATGATTTAATCCCTTTAATCTTCACAGATATCCTGTAAGGTATGTCTGTTGTTATTCCTAATTGATAAGAAAACCAGCACACAGAGGGCTTCAGTGACTTGCCCAAGTTCACGCACTAATAAGTGGGAGAGATCTGACATGCCAGCCTAGGCAATTAAGCTCCTGAGAGAGGAACAAGACGGTGTTCTTTGTGATAGACTCACATCTACCACCAGATAGACAAATAAATGGCACGCTGGCTTCTCCATCCTCTTGGATGAAATGGGACCTCAGAATCTTTCTCAACATAGTGCTCCAGCACTAGTCTCTAGTAATTAATCCATCAGCCTAAGAGAGGGGAGCCTGTTTTGCCATTTCCAGGGCTCATTTTATAGGTGCCAATTAATTTATAAAAATATCTTTTTTTTTTTTTTTTTAAATTTTTTTTTTTTTTTTCAACGTTTATTTATTTTTGGGACAGAGAGAGACAGAGCATGAACGGGGGAGGGGCAGAGAGGGAGGGAGACACAGAATCGGAAACAGGCTCCAGGCTCCGAGCCATCAGCCCAGAGCCCGACGCGGGGCTCGAACTCACGGACCGCGAGATCGTGACCTGGCTGAAGTCGGACGCTTAACCGACTGCGCCACCCAGGCGCCCCTATAAAAATATCTTAAAGGACAAATGCTGGTGTGTGCATGTGTGTGTATGTGCATACGCGTGCGTGTGTGTTTGACTTTATGAAACAAACGACATTAAGCTTGATTCAATTTGCATTTACCGAGCATTTGCTATGGGTCTGGAAGGCATTTTTGTGCCAAGGGCTAAGCCAATTTATATCTTAAAGGTATTGGTAGAATATTCCACATAAGGAAATATTGATGTAAATTCTTTTGAAAAGTTCCAAATCCTGTTGTAGACCCTTTTTAATGTAACCTGTTTTGTGTAGCCTGGCACGGTACCCTGGGTTTTCATAGACCAAAACATTCTTCCATGTGCCTTTCAAGGCACTTAACATTCCTCTGCAGTTTTGCAGTGCCTCTCCAAATTTTGCTAGCAGGGCATTTATTTTCAAAGCTTTTGCTTTATACACAGTTCCATTCACTTGACAACATTGTATTTGTCCTACTCCAGTGGGTAATATATTTACAAAGGCCCAGTGCATACAGGGAACATGTTAAGAATGCTTGATTCATACTGTGCAAAAGAAATGGTCTGAATGCTATTTTTCAATCCTGGAATTACACCTGGTATTTGAACAGCAGGGATATTAGGATTCCGAGAGGGAGAGAGGCACACACAAAAGAGAGTTTCCCAGCAATAGAGAATTATCTCTCCAGTGCCCTAACTAAATTTCTTCGGGGGTAGCAGGAATCTAGGATGAGGCATCTGATTTGGTGAAGGGGGATGTAAAGGCAAAAATGCCCGTGTGGCTGCTGAGAACACCCAGGTTTTGGATGCAGGCTGTGTGTAATCAGACTGGGATTTAAAAATTGAAGCTGCCAAAAAAAAAAAAAAAAAAAAAAAAAAAAAAAAAAAAAAAAAAAAAACCCAAACAAACAAACAAGAAACCAAAAAAACAAAAACAAAACCCAGAAAACAAAAAACACAAAACACAAAATCAAGCTGCCTGAGGTGCTTGCAGTGGGTAACGGAACCAGATCCAGAAAAATAATGTAGTTCTATTTCTAGGTCAACAGTAAGATGATGCAGAAGACCTGGATGTTTAGCTTTCTGAACGTGGTTGGATATATAAGGCCAAGCAGTCACGTCAGCAAGGGAAGGCCCCGCGCAGGCCCGCGAGAAAGTGCGTATCAGCCGCTGCCAGCAACGGCACAGGGAGGCCAGGGCCAAATAATAAAGCCCAGTTTAAGGAACAGGTGCCAGTTGCGGGAACCGTGTTGGAAAAGTGTCAGCCCCAGGATGAGAGAAATCACTCCAGAGTTAAATACTCACCGGCAGAGTAAGATGATGCCTTCCAGGGACCTACTGGGTACCCTGAGAAGCATACTAGTGTCTGTTGACCTAGCAACAGATTGTGGGATGTATTCTAGGAAGTAATTGGAGGTCATTGATAAAATTGAGCTCTAAGGATGTTTCTCAAAATGCCGTTTGGAAAACAAACGTAATGAGTAGAAATGAATTAATAATAGTAGGGAATCGATTGAAAATATTACGGCTTGCAAATACAATCCAGTGCAATGCAGCTATTAAAATGATTTGGAGAAAATTTAATAACATGAAATGATATTCCTAGAAGTATATATTTATGTGTGATTGCAACATATAAATATATAAATAAATGTACCTTAAAAAAGTAGGTTACAAACACTTTATAAAGCCTGGTGAGGGTATAACCAAAGTGGGAAAGTGATTATTCCCCTCTGGATGGGAGGGATTTTTGCTTTCTTCGTTTCGCTCGTATACAGTTTCCCTAACGTCCACAATAGATACGTGTTATTTGTGCAGTAAGCAAAAGATACAAGTTACGGGCTATATTCTGCTCGTTTTGTTTATGAATAGGTGCTTCATTTTCGTTAAGCCTCTCTGCTCTGTGGGCACCGTTCTTGGGGGCCCAGCTATTGAGATTGGGAGAACGTGGTCAGGAATGAGTGTTCCTACCCGTTGGCACTGAGGGCAGCATTGACAGATTGAGCCTCGGCTCTATCTCAAGCTTGATCTTTTTTCCCTGGGCGTGGTGGTGGATGACAGTTGCTATCTTTTAAAATTTTGTTAAAAAAAATGTTTATTTATTTTTGACAAAGAGAGAGAGAGAGAGACAGAGACAGAACATGAGCAGAGAGAGAGGGAGACACAGAATCGGAAGCAGGCTCCAGGCTCCAAGCTGTCAGCACAGAGCCCGACGTGGGGCTCGAACTCACAGACCGTGAGATCATGAGCTGAGCTGAAGTCAGACGCTCAACCGACTGAGCCACCCAGGCGCCCCACCAGTTGCTATCTTTTAGAAGGCCCTCTTCCGCATACCCGTCCCAGATACTCTTCTTTACACACCTACTCTTTTCCCTTCAGATACTCTCCCTCATCCAGATACTCACCGTCTTCCAGATACTTTCCCAACAGATACTCTTCTTCCAGGTCCTTTTCCTCCTGTAGATGCTCTCCCGCCTTCGCATACCCCTCTCCATACAGGTACGCCTTCCCCTTCAGCAACTTTTCCTCCTCCAGGTAGTCGTCTTCCTCCAGATATTCCTCCTCTTCCAGATACTCTTCCTCTTCAGGAAATAGATAGCCTTTCTCTGAACACTCTTCTTCCTCGATCTCCTCCTCCGAAGATATGGTCTGTGTGGAATTCTGGGACGTTGTGGCAGAGCGAAGGGGTGATGTTCGTCTTGATGACTGATCATCTTCAGCAGACATGTTGGGGCAGCATTAAGTAGATGAAACCCTGCAGCAAGCCGCAGGAGGTCACTTCGCCATCCTGGTAACCAAGAGAGGAATCAAATCCCATTGGTCGGTAATCGCTACTGCATATTGATTTATATCCATTCGTGTTCGCTCATTTCATTCAGTAGTGTTTGGGTGGCCCTTTGAATGTGCACGTCGGTATAGAGCGGCCCGTGAAAAGGCACAAAAAGGGGAACAGAGGTTTTACCCTCCAGGAACGGGTAGGAGAGATCACACCTGAAGGCAACACCTTTGCAATTACTGCACAATATGAAGTGAGCCTGGAGGGCTGGAGAGTGAAGGAGTGATTCGGCGTTTAATGGTACAGTCATCAGAGGAGACTTAGTTATTCATCAAGAAATATTTGTTACCACAATAATCAAGAAGAGGATGTTGGGATACCTGGGGGGCTCAGTCGGTTCAGCATCCGACTCTGGATTTCAGCTCAGGTCATGATCTCACGGTCCGTGAGTTGGAGCCCCGCGTTGGGCTGACCGTGTGGAGCCTGCTTGGGATTCTCTCTCTCCCTCTCTCTGCCCCTCCCCCTCTCGCTCGCTCTCTCCCTCTCAAAATAAATAAGCAGGAAAACAAGAAAAGAGAATGGCTCGCAGGAGCTTGAAATCTGGTGAGAAGAGGAGTCATGCAAACAGGTTTCTAGACACAAAAAGACACGCGCAGTGGGAGAGGTACAGGCAGGGTGGTTACAGGCACAGTGGCCGGGCCTTGGTCAGCAAAGGCCCTTCTAGTTGGAGGTCTGCTGGGCACGTGGTCACGGCCACCACAGGCATGGCCTCTTCGGCTGGAAGGCACACCCGCGGTGAGTTTACTCAGCAAACAGGTATTTTTACGCCTCAGCTTGCACGCAGCCGTGAAGTCTTTGTCTTGCCATTCCGTCCATCCTCTCCCACCCCGTTAGCCTCTCCTGTAGCGCTTACACTGTTTCTGATTATGTTTCTGTGTTTGCTTGTCCAGCCTTTCTTTTCTACTACGCTGTGTCTCAGTGGCAGTGACCTTATGTGACCTGTTCCCCGCTCTACCTCCAGTGGTTAGCTTAACGCCCGGTGCTCGGTAAACGTCCAATAAGTATGTGACCGGTGACTAAGTCAAGGGCAAGAATAGATGGCTCTAGAGCAGCGTGTCCCAAAGTTTTAAAAAGGGTAATATTCATTCTGCACAATGGAATGAGCTGAAGGAAGCAAACTGCCCAGAACCTTCCTGTTTGCTCTAGGGATTTAATGCATAAATATCTCAGTCTACCTTTCTTTCAGATCTTAGACCAGGAAGCTCTGTTTTCGGGAACCAGCGCTGAGATCACAGGATCACTTGCTAACGTGTGTGCACGACGACGCCCAAAATGGGAAGAGTGACGTGTAAAGACATTCATAGTGGGCCCTTGGGCTTGTTTATCTACTTTTAGGGTTGCTAGAGCCCTTAGATGATCAGATTCTGATAGGATTAGCCTGGGGCAGATGATCAGATTCTGATAGGATTAGCCTGGGGATAGAACCGAGGGGGTGCTACCCAGACCCCCTTTCAAAGGACTTGCTGCCGGCTGTGGAGACTGTGGTCTACAGACAGCCTCCGTACGCCGCCCCGTCTTTCAGGAACTGCCTCGGCTGCAGAGCTGCCTTCCAGAAGTCATCCAAGAAAGTTAGGCCGACTCAGGCAGGTCAGCTTTGACAGGCAGGCTTGCCCAGCCCGGTCCACAAGACCATTCCCTCCACCAGTCCTTCCCCGCCCTTTCTCAGGCTTATATTTCTACTGGTTGCACCTCAACGGTCCGCATCTGGGAACCCGTTTCCAGACAACCCGCCCTCTGACAGACAGCTTCACAAAATGTAAGCCTACAAAGGAATGGATTGCAGGATTGGGGACAGCGAAGAGGACAGGCCTCATAGATAGATTGGTATTTTATTTTATTTAAAAAAAAAAATTTTTGTTTTTTCAACGTTTATTTATTTTTGGGACAGAGAGAGACAGAGCATGAACGGGGGAGGGGCAGAGAGGGGAGACACAGAATCAAAGCAGGCTCCGAGGCTCTGAGCCATCAGCCCAGAGCCTGACGGGGCTCGAACTCACGGGACCAGCTTGAGATCAAATGACCTGGCTGAAGTCGGACGCTTAACCGACTGCGCCACCCAGGCGCCCCTAGATTGGTATTTTAGAAGGTTGGGGAGGGTGGGGAGGAAGCAGACCAACCCGGGGCCCAGAAAACTGACCTTGCAGAGAGAGGACAAGGTAGAAAAAGTAAGGGCAGAGTCAGGGGGTGGAGAGCTTTAGAAGTCATTATTACTCATTTTGGGCTGGGTGGTGACGGAACGCGAGAGGATCAAAGGCTCCAGAAGGGAGCGCTCTTGCGGCCATTTACCAGACAGCGTAGAAACAGTAGAGAGTCTCCTGCCTCCGTCACTCACTGCTCTGTGGTTCATACAGTGATCTTCCTGCGTGTCTTCTCACCTAGGCTACCTCAGATGCCTTTTGGAGGAGGTGGGATGTAAATCACACACACCAGGGTGGAGGAGATCGCCTTTGGGGCAAAGGGTGAGCTGTGGGAGAACTTCGGGGCTCACACTGATGTCTACGGGAGACTCTTCTGCTTTAAAGGAGCCTCCCCAGGCTTACTTTGATTTAAAAGCTGAACGTGTCAGTTAACTGTCGCTGTTCACCTCCGACCCCCATGCGCTCCTGGCCCTGGCTCCCTAAGCCAGAGGGAGAAGGAAGGGGCTGGGTAAGAGGAGAGGAATTGGAGACGGGGATGCCTGGCCTCATCCTGGGAGCGGTGAAGGAACATATGTAAGCACCAGCCACTCCATCAAGGGCATGCTTAACACTTCAGGGATCTCCTACCTTTCCTATTTTTTTAGCTGCTTGAGATAAAAGGTCAGAATTGCCCCATCCCCCGGACGGCCCAGAATGCATTTTCCAAAGGCAGCCTGTCATTTAGGCTTAAGAATCTTTTCTTTCCATTTTCTCATCAGGCCTTGTGAAAAGGCCCAGGCTGCTGCATCCTCACATTCTCCCTTTAATTCTCCTGGAAACTTCTAAGAAAAGCCGTCAGGTGGAAATGAACAGTAATTGGCAACTCGAGACCCGGCGTCTGAGGTAAAACATCCTGGTTTTGACTTGTGATTCAGATGTGCACTCATTTTGACCCCGGTTTCTGACAGATTGCAGCTTAATTTCTGTGGTCACAACAAGAAACATCCCCTTTATAACAGCCAATTATAATCAGCTGATTATAGGTCTTTAATCTTTAGACTGGCTTCACAGAATGGCTGCATCAATCAAAGCAAGATGGCAGACACAGGTTATTCGGCTTCAAGAGTTTTTTTTTTTTAAATTTAGAGTGAATATTTAGAATGAGCAGAATTCACAAAAAATCAAGAGTTCCGGCTTCTCGTGGAAATAGGAATGTTGGGCAACCCTGCGCTGGCTTTCCCACACGGAAATAGTGCTGCTGAGTTCAGGCTGCTTTCCCTGAATGGGGCCTTGCACTTCTGCGTCTGTCCCCACCACTGCCTGCAGTCTGCTCAGATTCCCGGGCGGGTGCATCCTCCCATGGGCCCTGTTGTTTTCCTTACAGTAGAGCCATGGCTCGCTGTCTCTACCAGGAGTTGGGAGAACAAAAGATACACAATCCACTAAAAGGTCTGGTATCTCTCACACTTTGCCTGCTCAAGCATTGGCTTCATCTTTCTGGCCCCACGGAGAGATGGGCTGTTTGGTGGCGACAGGTGCCGTGTTTACACAGGTCGACACTGGACGCCCGTACCTACCATGGTGATTGGGCATATAATAGGCACTCGGTAATAACCTGTTGAATGTATAAATGAAAGAGCAAAGAAAAGTATTAATAAATGCACTTTGCCAAGGATATTTACTGATTATGTACATACGCTTATTTACTGAAGAGGGGTAAAACTTTGTATCAGAGGTCATTCGACCACAATCTTGGAGATTTGTATCCACATAACCCCTTCCACACTGCACTGCAAATGAGAGGCCAACTGATTTTTCCATAGTGATTTTTCTTTTCTTTTCTTTTCTTTTCTTTTCTTTTCTTTTCTTTTCTTTTCTTTTCTTCTTTCTTTTCTTTCTTTTCTTTTCTTTCTTTCTTTCTTTCTTTCTTTCTTTCTTTCTTTCTTTCCTTTCCTTTCCTTTCCTTTCCGATCCCATTTGTCATTCTGAGGGGTCGAGGCCAGTCTCTCCAAACATTCTTAGTTTGAAATACATGAGGAAGACATAACTAATGTAACAAAAAGAACAGAGCACCCCCTCTGTAAATGACTGATCTCACAAGGAATAATTGCAACCTCTGGTTTCCAGGTGAATGACCTAAAGAAGGGCTCCATGTTCTGGTTGTGGTTTTTTAGGGAAAGGAGTTAGTAGGGTCTCCTCACTGGTTTCCAAGACGGGGGCGGTGGCGTTGCTCCTGAGATGTTCTTTGTCTCTCTCACTGGGGCCATGGCTCTACAGACTTGCTGAAAGGCGTCACACTTTGGAAACCAAATGCATGCAAGGAACCTGCAGCTGGGCGGGAACAAGTTCCTTGGGGTGGGAAAACAGGCTGCTCCGTGAGGATGAGCACATTCGCTTTGTCCAGCTCATGCGGCCCAGTATGATGGCTCTGGGCAGAGAGGGGATGGGAAGACGTAGAAGGACACGATTTGCCAGCGTGGCCAGCACGGCTATCCTCCCCTTACGCATCCTCGTGGGTCCTCCTCTGCCCCCTGGACATCAATACTGGTGTGTTTCCAGGGAAAAAGCCCAAGGACCGCATTTGACCCTTGGTGTGTCGGCACCAGTTATTGTCGTCACCATCCTCTGCCTTTGCATTCTCAAAAGGAAGGAAGGGTCTGGCTTTTCTGACAAGGAAGGAAAATGGAGGCCCAAGCGCCCTCTGGTCCCTGCACAGGGTCGCTCGGGGCGGGGGCCTGGGTCCCAGTGCCCAGCTCCCTGCCCCAGCCGGGGCT